CTGCTCTTCTGTGCTTGGCCCTGTGCCAGAACTTTGGGTCATGGTAGAAAGGGACTCTGCCCATAGGAGCCTGAGCCTTGGCAGGTTACTCTCTTCAACCGGGGATGCTTGTCCTAGTGACCCCATAGATTTAAAAATCTACAGCTACTTGGGCCCCACTGCAAAACGAGAGCAAAAAATCTTCAGGGAATGGGGCTGAGAAAGAATATCTGTTAAAAGATCCTCAGGGGACTCTTATAGGCACCTCTGATTAAGAACTACAGCTGCATTGGAGCTGGGGGATTAAAACAAATAACTAACGTGAAAAGTGATGTGGGGTGCAGAGGGAGGAAGGGTATTCTGGGGGAGATCCAGGAAGCTACTTGGAGGAGGTGCCATTTGAATTAAGACTTGGAAAATGATGAGATAGATTAGGAAGAGAATCAGAACTAGAAATTAGAGAGGAAACTGTAGTAACTGATAGAGAGAGAAAGAGAAGACAAAACCATGTAAGGGGAAGAGTCTTGGAGGTCATTTGAACATTTAATGTCAGGGAAGTAGGTAAAGAAGCCCAAGAGAGAGATGTTCTCCAGGTGTTAGCAGAACCTGAGGAATTCAACATCATAAGATAAAGCCAAATATTTTGTGGAGAGGTTATGGGACACTTGGGGATGCCATTGTATCAGCGGATATAGTCATGCCTGAAAATGTTGGTGGGAACTGCTTCAGTAAAGTGGCAGGTGAGAAAAGAAAGATCACCCATGTTGATGAATTGCAGAGCAATTGGATGTAATGACAGTAAAGTCTTTTATGAAGTTTGGAGGTTAAAGGAGGAAGAAAGTAAGTCTGATATGTTAAGGGATCCTTTTTGCCAAAGATTAATGTTGATCTGCAAATGTTTGTAATATTTGGGAGATAGATAGAGCCAGCAGAGACGATTCATGTTCAATGAGAAGGACAAATAACAGAGCAAGCTCCTGGAAGAGATGGGTCAGAAAACAGGAATGGCAAGTCAAGGATGGGTGCAGATGTGGAGGAGGGGCAGTAGGTAGATGAGTTAAGGGTGCTTGTGTAGATGACATAATTCATCAATGAGGGAGAAGGAGCACCCTGAGACAGAGGAAGAGCTCCTATAGGGTTTGAGGTAGAAGATGACGGGTAATAGTAGGACCTTCCATTGTGCGCTTACCTCCACTTTGGAAATAGTTGCCTTCTTATTTGCTAAAAAGACATGAGTCTCTACTGTGACTGAAGTCTGAATGTGAGGGTTGTTTACAGTATTAGTTCTCAATTCTGACCACATATTTAAATTACCTGGGTTACGTTTTTTAAGTGGGGGGGGGGTGTTAGGTATCAGGAAGCTCCCTGATGATACTGATTTTCAGTTTTGAACCCCATTGGTCCACGGAAACATAACAATACATGGATATAGTAATTGTGTGTGAATATGGTATTCGGCTAGGATGTTTCCAAATTATTAGGCATATGCAATGTATAGGGTATTCTGTTAGACACTGAAAAGAGAGGGAAAAAACTTTGAGGGGACCTGTCAAAAGCCAAAAGATTATCAGAAAAGCAAGCAAGATTTAAAGGAATAGATAGTGGATCTACTCACTCACTCATCCATATATCTATGCAGGTCCTCTAAGTACCTACTACATGTTAAACACCACACTATTGCTGAAAATAAAGAAACAAAATGCCTTTCTCTCTCGTAAACTAGATTAAGCTGGAAAGAGAGAGGACAAGAAAACCTAGGATTATAATTTCATGTAGCAAATGCAGGAATGGAGGTGGGCAGTAGGTACTCTATGTATACAGTCAAGGGACAGCTCACCCAGATAAGAGAGGGGATGGATGGGGTGGATGGTAGTAACATTCACCAAGGTAGATGATGGCACAAGATCAAGGCAAGAGGTTAGGTCTCAGGACTGGCTTTAAATTATGAAAAACCAAAGCAACCTAATAAAGTTACACTGTAGAGGTAATGTTAGAGAATGCAGCATTAATGAGTGACAGTAATTTTTTTACTTATCGACTGTATCAGTTGGGTCCAGGAAGAAAAAATGGCACACTCAAATTTACTAATTAAAGTGAGTTTAATAGATGGACATCTGAAAAAGGAATAAGTTGAGTGTAGGAAAATAGTGAAGAAAAGCCCAGTGCCCTGGAAATGAACTGTTCTTACTCACAATATTTTGATACCAAATGTGTGGCACATTTTTTCTCATATCAGCCAATTCTCCAACGTTTCAGAGACCAACTGGATGTCCTACAATTCAATTCAGTTCTGACACTACACAGAATTAGCATAAGACTACACAGGTTTAAGGGCTCAGTGTCACAAGATTGCCCGCACTTCAGATACCAGTTGCAAGTATTGGGTCCTCGGGTTACCCTCACTTCTGTCTGCCTTGACTGCAAAGTAGGAGGGGAGAGGTGTTCCTATAATTCCCCTTCCCTTTTAGACTTAACAATTTGCTAGACTATTTCACTAAACTCTTGAAAACACTTTATTTACTATTACTGGTTTATTGTAAAGGATACAATTGAATAGATGAAGGAGTACATGCAGCAAGGGACTGAAGGGTCCTGACATAGGAGTTTCAGTCCGAGGGGAGTAAGTATACCACCCTACCAGTACTCTGATATGTTCATCAGCTCTGAAGTTTTCTGAACCTTGTTGTTAGTCATTCAGGAGTTTTTATGAGGGTTTCACTATGCAGGTGTGATTGATGACATGATTGGCCACTGGTAAGTAACTCAATATCCACCCCTTCTCCCCTTCATGGAGATTGATTGGTGGGGCTGAAAGTTCCAACCCTCTCATCGTGCTTTGGCCTTTCTGGTGACCAGCCCCATCCTGAAGCTATCTAGGGTTCCCTAGCCACAAGTCATGTCATTAGCATATAATAGTTAATACTCTAAAGATTCCATGGACTTTTGGAGCTATGTGCCAGGAACTGGGCACAAAAGAATAAACATGTTACAAATGACAGAAATGGTAGTGATATGTATAAAGAAGAAAAATATGGAAAAAATTGAGAATGTGGAGATATTATTTTGGATAGGAAGTTACCTTTGAGAAGACACACCAAAAGGGGAGAGCAAGCCGGGCATACAACCAATAAGAAGACATTTGATGTTTCAACATAAATGGCTGGTAATAGCTCCCACAGTGTAAGATGCTTTGTTGGTAGAGATATACGACATGATATACCAATAGAGGGGTGAGTTACGGGGAGCTATTACCAGCCAATTATACTGAAACATCAAATGTTGTCTTAGTTGGTTCTATGCCCGGCTTGCTCTCCCCTTTTGAGGTGTCTTCTCAAAGGTAACTTCCTATCCAAAATAATATCCCCACATTCTCAATTTTTTCCCCTATTTTTCTTCTTTATACATATCACTACCATTTCTATCACTGGTAACATGTTGATTCTGTCTTCCAACACTAGAATATAAACTCTTTCAGGGAAGAATTTCCATCTAGTCTCCCACTGAATCTTTAGCTCCTAAAAGGCATTAGGTATAGAAACCAGCAATACATACTTACTGGAAAAAAATGAATGAGTTATGAAACAGATCTAATTATACCAGTGGCTTTGTTCAAAACCAGTGGTTAGTAACAGTTAGTTTAATTTATTTAACAGTTTAAATAACTAGGACAGGGATAGGCATGCCAAAACTTAATATGGAAATTAGAATCTATATAGAAAAATCATAATTATAGACCCAAGTACTATAAAGTAGGTTTCACTCAGATGTCTCTCAAAATTCTATGCTTCATACAGTTCAGCTTTTAAATAATATGGAAGAACTTGTGAGTGATAATCGACTACTCTCTAGACAGAACACCCCTTTTCTCATTTGTGTTTAACTAGCAAAATGGTATTTGAGGAGCCTTATTGTAAGTTAGATATGGTCAAACATGAATGTTCTGTGGTAACTGTATATAATTTGAAAGATTCAATCTACAGTGCACTTGCTTGAAAACCAGTTCTGTTTTTCAGTTTTACGATTACATTCTTTATAATTCTTTGCAAGGTACTATTTTGCAAACAGAGTAAACTATAAGAGAGGTGTTTGAACTGCTACTCTTCCATGTTTATTAAATTTGTTTGGAGCGACGTGAAATGAAAGTTAGATGGTTATTGGTATTCTTGGAAAGTCCTTCTTCTGAAGTCCTACACGAGTCAACATTCCTACTCATGAGAATGAAAGGTGGCCTCTTTGTCACTGGAAAGAACTCCGATGGGAAAGTTTGTATGTCATAAAACTTCCAGAATGTATGTTTTTCTGACAAATCTATTCATGAATTTTCAGGAACTCTCAGAATATTGTCAAAATCATTTTCGCTCTAAGCAAACAAAGATAGCAAATTGGTTATGATTTGGCTAGCTCATCATTTTTGTATTCTCTGGCCAGGCAGCCACCTACTTCCCTCTTTCTAGTCACACATCTCATGTTTCCCTATTTGGTTTCACCCCACTCTTGCTCTAATTTGCCTCAAATTGATCACTATGATTAAAATATGTCATGTGTTTCCAGTAAGCTTAGCAGTTTTTTTTTCCTGTATGTGTAATTCTGCATACTTGCATATTGATGTGGTTGCACAAAATATTCCTATTTATCACAACTTGATAGCTCTAAGCACAATTTGGAGTTGATTTTTCATTCTGTTCTCAATAGCCAAATAACCTCATAGACTTCTCGGTAGTTTCACTAATGTGTGGTTTGTCTTCTCTGGGAATAAAAAAAAAAAACTTTTCATTTTATTTTACTTTGAAGATCACTAGCCCAGCAGGTGGATCTTTGATGTTGTTTTTTCAGGGGCAGGTGATTCCCAGAGTGTTTCAGGAATGTTGAATGTTTGTTATTCCTTTGTTAAAATGCACAAGGGAGTCTGTGCTGTGGAAGGGTCAGTGCCGGGGGTGACATGAGCCTGCAGCATGGCATTGGGCTGAAGGTGAATCAACATGGCCCTTTCTCCACGTCTCACTCGTGTCTCCTTTTCTCAGCCACCCAGTGTAAGCACGGAGCTGTGTATGATACCTGTGGTCCCGGCTGTGCCAAGACCTGTGACAACTGGAATGAGATCGGTCCATGCAATAAGCCATGCGTCGCAGGTTGCCACTGTCCAGCCAACCTGGTCCTTCACAAGGGAAGGTGCATCAAGCCAGTTCTTTGTCCTCAGCGGTGACCTTTGTTCTGCTCCTAAGACTTTGAAACCTGGTGTCCTTGACACTGAAGTGGAAGAGCCAATGAAGGACTGCAGTATTTGTGTGCTGATTCTTCAAATACACACACACACGCACACAGAGTATATATGTGTACATATATAGATATATAGATATATTCAGAAACATTTCATCATTTATATAAACTATAGGTGGATTATTATATGTATATTTTTTGCTATAAAACATGTATTATTTCTAGGATCCTAATCTGTAAGCCATTGGATACATTGTATAAATAAGCCAGGTGTTTGTAATTTAATAAGGCAGCATGCAGACATATTGGATGGCTTTAACATCACGTACATTTGTCATTTTTAAGAAATTTTCTAAGAAACCTAAATTGCCTGCCTGTATTAATTTTAGCTTTGAATCAAGACTTGCAGTTGAGTGGAAAATGTGTTTTTCTGGAGAAGGGCAATGTTATCTAAGGTCATTTCATGCTTCCAAGGAAAGGAATGTATGCCCAAGAGAGATGGCTGGTGATCGGTGACAGGCCCTAATGGTGCATGTAAAGCAAGGGATAGGTTGTTAGACTTTATTGGGTCATGGTCCAATATTAGTTCCAAAACCAATTGGCTAGTTGCCAAGAAATATATATTTGTCAGTGGAGCATAACCAAAGAATTGAATGGTTTCTTGCCATCTTTGCATATTCCTCGAGTCACCTAATTATACATGTGAGTATGATGGATGTGTCCATTTATATGTCACAGTGAGATTAAAGAATGTTTGGGTGACATGACAGTTTTATTGAGCATGAGCAGATATTTAGGGAACGTTTTGCACAACATATGAAAGAATAGCCATTTCTCTGACTCTCAGAGCAATTGGGGATGGGCAAATATAATAAGTTGATGTAAGCCATCTACATTTTGTGACTATTCCATGTGTAAAATGAAAATCATTAATTATTTCTAGAGGATTCCTAGCCCAGTGCTATTTGGTGACTGTTAATATGTCATGATTATACAAGAAGAAAGCCTTTTCTGACCAGTTGATTTAATATCAGTCCAAACAAATACTGGTCTCTAATTTACTGGTACTTTACTACTGGTCATCACATGAGGTTCCTGACTTTTGTTTTCAGTTGAGTAAGTGAAAATGTCAACAAAACAAAACCCTCTGATGTTTCAAGATACTATGTTCCACAGTGTAGTCAATAAAGGGCTTAATATTTAAAACAACGCATTTTCTCTTTCAAGACGTGCTGTGTTATACTTTATAAGTAAGCTATATCAACTTCGAGTTGGCCAATTTTTAACAGCTTTATTTTGATACATTTTATGTAACCTATAATATTTAATTTTTTTTTAATGTTTTATTTATTTCTAGGAGAGAGAGAGAGACAGAGACAGCGTGAGCAGGGGAGGGTCAGAGAGAGGGAGTCACAGACTGAAACAGGCTCCAGGCTCTGAGCTGGCAGCCAGCACAGAGCCCGACGCGGGGCTCAAACCCACGAACCACGAGATCATGACCCAAGCGAAAGTCGGACGCTTAACCGACTAAGCCACCCAGGCGCCCCTATAATATTTAATTTTTATAAAGAGTACTATTATTAGACAATAGGAAACCCCCAATTTCTTTTTTTTTTACAATCAGCATATTGCCATTGCCTGTTACAACATTTGTGTTCATTTTGCCTATATACATGACAGCTAAAATATTAATTTGGATTTTTTACTGGGATACCTTTAGTTGTTTGAGTAAACTGAATAAAGTACAGAGTATAATGTTGACTGGCTAGGAATGTGTTCTCTGGAACCACCAGAGAATGTGGTTATTACTGTTTTCCATGGGTCCTAAACATCTTAGTATCTAGGACCTAAAGTAGCCAGGTCATTGGTTTAGAGCTGTACTTGGAAAGGGAGCTTTTTAGGGGACTTGGGTTCCAAGTATAGTTTCTGAACTTGTCCATACTGTTTAAGCATTTGGGGCCACACTTTTGCTTATCTGTAACACAAAGAGGCTGGGTCGCATATGGGCAGGGTAAAGAATCAGGAACCTAGGCACCCTGCCTCTGGTGAGATTACTTGCACAGAAATCTGAGATACTTCAAGTTTGCAAAACTTTTACATTTATAATCTTATGTATTTCCCCCCTGTACTAAAAGGAGGTGTGGGGCAAATCAGTTCACCTCTCCTGGTTGGTTCCCTTTTAGATCATCTTTAATTCTTTTAGATTATCTTTAAATTCCTTTCCAGGGGCGCCTGGGTGGCTCAGTCGGTTAGGCGACCAACTTTGGCTCACGTCATGATCTCACAGTTTGAGTTCGAGCCCCGTGTCAGGCTCTGTGCTGACAGCTCAGAGTCTGGAGCCTGCTTCAGATTCTGTGTCTCCCTCTCTCTGCCCCTCCCCTGCTCACCTCTGTCTCTCTTTCTCAAAATTAAATAAACATTAAAACTTTTTTTAAAAATAGTAAATTCCTTTCCAGTTCACTCTGAGTTTTCCCTCTATAAAAGAAGGGATGCAGAAAGGAAATTGTGAATGGTTACTGCTCATGATTCATCCAAGGAGTCAGTGACGCTGCATGGTAGTGCTTTATAGCCTCTATCCCAGGATTTTTAATCACATCTACTCATGGTAAATGAGATGAAAACTCTTCTTCATGAACCAACTCCATCATTTTGGGTGGCATGATTACAAGTTTGTGTGACCTACTTTATCCATGGCTAGTTTAACCTTTGTAACATTTTTTTTTCATTATTAATCCTAGAAAAAAGAGAAGGCAGAAAAGACAGAGGGCTATTCAGCCTACTAATCCAAGCAGGCAGGCAACTGTCTGATGGGGGAGCATGGGACAATGAACAGAATGGTCCATTTGCCATGTTCTGGTTTTGGCCATGGGCTATAGATGAGCATTGATTTTGTCTAATGATTGATGATAATGGAGATTAACCAAGCACTTTGATGATAGTAGCCCCACCTTATTTACATGGGATCTTTTCAATGGGTTCCCAAAGGCTGAATCCTGTAGAATTAGAGACTTTGAAATGAAAACATTATATTTCACTCTTTAATGTATATACCCAGGCTAGCAATTCATGTTGGTTCATGGCATAGATAAACTTAGAAGACGGGTTAATATCACTTAATATACATGTATAGAATCCCTATTTTAGTTATGCTATTAGCTATGAATATTGAATTTGATGGACAAATACTCTTGATGCACAGGCACAGTTATGATTCCAATTGCATGTAGTAAGGGTTTAACGAAAGGAACTCCTTTCCTCTCTCCCTGTGAAAACAGAAATGTTTTAAGAACCTGAACTAAAAATTTCAAACTGGAAAGAAAAAGAAATCTTTGACATTGACAATAGCAATTATCTATTAAAAGGGTGGTGCGTTGAGAATCATCAACTCTTCAGGTGGAAGGTCTGCCCCTATTAACCCGTCGAGTATTTCCTGAGCATCTGCCCACCAGCCTGTAAAGGGCATCTCCTAATGAAATGAGAAGAGCCCTGTGGTTGACTCTTCCCCAGCTTTCGTTGAACATGGATAAACCATTTTGACTAGAAACCTTTTTCTTGTGATACAATGTTTCAGACGTATAAAAATGTTTAGAGAGTAATGGTGCAAAAACATCCATAAATACATTACCCTAATTAAGAAAAATAACCTGGTAGGTAGTCAGTAAACTTTTCTTACATAAACAAAATCAAGCCAAGCCTCATGGTTGCAACAGCTCTGTGTGGAGTCTTTCCTTGTTGAGTTTCTGTACACTGGCTGCTCTTTGTCATTCACATCCATATGGATCTGACAAACACTAAAGATGTGAGCTGAAAAGCTCTTGGTGTGGGAGAAGGAGAATGCCTGAGGGGATAGGTGCCAAGGTATTTTAATTAGCTATCTCTTGCAAACATAACCCACAGGAACAAACAAAAATTGTCTCCAGTTCTGAAATCTGAAGTGAAAGCCTTTTCAGAAACCAGGATTTTAATTCTGAAAATTGAGAATGTTCAAGTGGCCAAGAACGAACAAAGAAGAAGAAACCAATGCTGGTGATTATGCTGACCCTACATTAAGAATCCAGACATTCAGTCCTTTAAGGGGACCTTTTGGACTTTCGAGCCAAGTTGCCATATTGAGCTTAATTAAACCAATTGAATGACAAATATTTGCATGAGATCCATCTTTTACTGTGGTTCCCTTTCAGATTAATTTTGAGCAAGCTGGCTATGACAAGATTAATGTAGGAGAGAAGGTTGGGAAATCTATACATAAAGTTGAGCCTTAAAGGAGAATTCAGAGCGAGCCTGGCTAAGCAAAGTGAGAATCATGTTCCCAGTACAGGAAGGGCAAATCACCAAGGCTGTACTGTAAGAAGTGTGGCGTGAAGAGAAAGGTAAAGCACCGTGAATGGATGGCCTCCTACACATGCCAAGAAGTCTGAGTTTTCTTCTATAGGGCAGTCGTTCCCAAAGTGTTTTATGCCATAGGGCAGTCAGAAAATAACATTGGTCTGGGGGCCCTGGGTGGCTCAGTCAGTTAAGTGTCTGACTCTTGGTTCTGGCTCAAGACATGATCTCATGCTTCGTAAGATCGAGCCCCTCATCGGGCTCTGTGCTGGCAGCATGGAGCCTTCTTCAGATTCTCCCTTTCCTGCTCTCTCTCTCTCCTCAAAATAAATGAGTATTTTTTATTTTTTTATTTTAATTTTTTTAGTGTTTTATTTATTTCTGAAAGAGAGAGAGACAATGTGAGCAGGGGAGGGTCAGAGAGAGAGGAAGACACAGAATCCGAAGCAGCCTCTGGGCTCTGAGCTAGCTGTCAGCACAGAGCCCGATGCAGGGCTCAAACCCACGAACCGTGAGATCATGACCTGAGCCAAAGTCAGACACCTAACAGACTCAGCCACCCAGGCACTCCTAAATGAGTATTTTTTAAAAGTTGGAGTAAGAATATAGGGTTGTTTGCAGTTACCACTTCTGTGATTAGAGAGCTTTGTCTTGGCAAGTGGAGTGATATGGGGTTTTCAGTGAAAAGAGCAGGTGGGAGTCCCTGAGATAGTTCAGGTGAAAGGTGACAGAGCCCCAGAACTGGGAGGTAGGAAGGTAAAAGGGGAGAACTTTGTGACAGATTGAACGGCGGAGAGGCAATTTCCTGGCTTGAGTGATGGATGGTGGTGATGCCAGTGTGTCACATAAGGAACACTGGCAGGGGGCAGATTTATAGAAATTTCTATTGTAAATCAAAATGTTTTCTCTAGTTTCACAGACATCCTGAGCATTCAGATGAAGACATGGTCCTCAAGACAATTACAGTCTAGCACTGGTGACTTGTAGTAAACCAGAGGAGCACACAGCTGCCCGTGGAACCCCAGAATTGGTTTTTTTCTGTTTGGGTATATGTCAAGGAAGTTTTGCTAGAGAAAGTGACTGCTCAAATAAGCATTGCTAAGCTAATTAGGCTCTACTTATTCCTTACTAGGTTGAGTGCAAAAAAGTGCATGCATGTGCGTGCGTGCGTGCGTGTGTGTGTGTGTGTGTGTGTGTGTGTGTTGGTAGGGATAGTGCCATCTGAAGTTTAAGGCACAAGTCACTCACTGTGCAGATAAGGAAAAAAATAAGCAGGCAGCCTGGGAGTGCATAGAACACCAGTTTTGTGGTCCTGATGGGGCATAACAAATTCACAGAATTCTCCTGAGCTGTGCCAGCGTAGCTCACATGCTTTGAGATGTTTTGGAAGCTTCCTTTGGTTTCTGGTGGGGTGAGCACAAGCAGAGATCGAGGAAAGTGGCATTTTGTTCTAAGCCTTCTCTGCTTCCTGCACCTAGGTGTGTTTGAGTTTCCTTGATGGGTCTTTTGAGAGAGAAGGAAGAGAAAAGAAGCTTCTAATGAGACCGTTCTATGTGACATTCAGTGTTAAACTGTATAGTGAGGAAGGTCTTTCAGACCCTCTAGGCGCTGGTTGCTTGTACAGACCTGGTCCAAAGTCGATATACGTAACCGCTGCTTTTGCTGAGCTGGTTGATGGTAGGTGCAGAGGATGCTCAGGGTCCAAACAGCTGGACCTGCCAGTGTCAGGGGCTCTGGTCACACCTACAGGTAAAAGCCCTGGAGAATATAGCAGCCAGAGCTCCGGTTGGAACAGTCTTGTCATGTTTTAGCCACATTAGCTTATGCCTTAAAAGCTGACATAAACTTCTTCTCTGTTTCCACTAACTGGAATTTGGCTTACTAAG